TTTATTGTTGCCATAAAAAAAGCAATAACTTTTATATTTATATATACATATATTTATATTTTAGATTGGTTTAAATGCATCGATATTTAAGTCACAGAAAAAAAATTCGATTCACAAAAAGTCTAGGTAAAAATATAAAAAGAAACCTAGCTTCTTGCATGGCACACGATCTTAGAATTCAATGAATTGATGGTTCAAGGTCGCCGTGTGAAGGAACCTCATGTTACTACAGATATCTTCCGCCCGTGCGTTTGGGCAAACACTCTCCAATATCCATTAACGATGAGCCGCTAACAAGCGCCACCGGCGGTGCAAAGTACTACTCAACGGTGCAGCGCCCCAAGCACTTCCTCTATTTTCCAGTTGCCGTACATATATATACTACCTTTACCCGGTAAAAATATCCACCAGCGAATCGAATGCACCTCTTGAGTCAACGGGTCAGTGGGTTTCCGTACAAAATTAACATTCAAAGTTTATTTCGCATTATAACTATGTCTGTATTTAACATAAGGGGTTTTAGTCTCTGGTTGGTTTTAGGATCGGTGCTTTGGGTGAGAGCTTAGGCATACTTGGCCACCAGACCCTCCACGAAGGTCACGTACTCCTGCTGGGCAGCCTCGCTGCTCTTGCCCTTCTGCTTGTTCCAGGCCTCCCACTTGGCCTTGCCCTTGAGGTCAAGAAGACCGGGCTTGGCGGTGTCGTTGTCACCCACGCTGGCCTGCTTGAAGAGGGCGTACAGCTCCAGGAACTCGTCGTCGCTGGGGCGCTTGGTCAGGGACTTCACCTTCTCGGCGGCGGCGTTGAATTGCTGTGGGTACGAGTTAAAGCATTAAATTAGATTTTTAACTGTGTTAACATATCGTCAAGGCGGAAATTGCTAACCAAAGAATACGTGTTTATACAAATTTAAATTATTCTTCAAATATTATTCCATAGCAATTACAAAACATTCCACAAACTATACGGGATCTTTGGAACTGATTAGCTTTATAACGTACGACTGCATTTAATTTGAAAGCAAAAACAATTGTCATCTAGCTTATGCCCAAGGTAAAGTGCAATCTAATCAGATTTGTATAATTCTCAGGTAATAAATTATATTCTTCATTTGTAATTGTGATTTTGGCTGAATGAAGGCTAATCGAACTGATTAGACTTAAGCTTATCGCTCGTCCAAGTGTCGTTCTAAATATCTTTCGGAAAAGTACTTACCTCGGAAAGGGACATTCTGGATTAGATTTTATCTGCAATAAGTGAGATTGTAAAAAAGTAGAATTAGTCTTATTTATTTCATGCTATGTTTTATGTTTATTATCATAATTGCTTGTTGGGCAAACCAGTTCGCCGACAAACACCTCTGGCTAGTGCCAAACTGACTAACTGAACTTTGGCCCCGTGGTCTGATCTCGACGAAGAAGTTTGCTAATGGGTGTTTGTCAGACCCCACACACATCTCAGACTTTCTCCGAGCGTAGAAACATAACGCAGGTGGAACTGCTGGAAGATATGTATTCTCATTTGCTACGGAAACAGAAGACGCAAATATTTGAGATTTTTGAAAGGGAGCGTTAGGTGGCAACCGTTAGCGGCCGCATTTGGTCTGCGAATTTTCGAATATGGGCACGGGTGTGGTGTGGGCTTTGTACGTGTCTCGTACACTAAGCAAAATACCTGCCTCAAATGACTCAGTCAATTTATGGTTAGAAATGTTTGCAAACTGGAATCGAGTTGCTAAGTAAGTATACTCATTAGGTTTATTTGCGGGAAAAACTGCAAGTGTTAGATGTCAAAAGATGATGATTTAGTCATCAAAGTGACTTGGGGTTAAGCGGGTTTTAAATGCATTATGGCGCATTAATTAAAAATTTAATTGGCCTAATCACTGCACAAATTACTCCATTTAAAACAGGGTATTTATTTGATTTTTAAAGCCCGATTTTTTGCAGTGTTTATGGTCTTGTACATTTCCATAATTAAATTCGGCAGGTGCCCGATTTCACACACCCTATTCCGGGTATTATCTGACCGAGTTTTTATGTGTCAGAACTACAATTTGTGGACACCGATAGCTAATTCCGGGCAGGGCTATGGAGCAATTGAATCCAGATTGGAACTCGACACTTACTTTGGTGTTGACGGACACAGAACTAAACACTGTCTGAATTCCAATCTCGCGGTGACTTTCAATTTAAGTCTTTCCATATCGCGCGATCGCCTCGCCGAGAAAGCTTCTCTCCAAGAGAACCGGAGAGAGCGAGCTAGAGAAGCTCACGGAGAATTCTCCGTGGATCGGGGAGCTTTCGCTTGAGTGGGTTAGGCAATCGCCGGTCTGATAATGCAGGCCCGCTGATAGCAGTACCGATTCCCTGATAAAACCGCCAAACTCGACGGACTCGGAGCCACGTAATCGTGCGCGGATCGAAGTTCGAGCGCCTCCTATCGCCTTCCAAAAAGCCAGGGGGGAAATCAGGGGTCAGGGGCGGTTGCTATAATGCACGAAAGCTCAAATAAAATGCCGCTCAGCCGGACAAACACCTGATGATTACTACTATGTATGTGTTCATATCTGGGTTAATCTTTATTGCTCCACAAGTAGTGGCGAGTACATTGGGGGTCGACTTCCGGAGGAGGGTAACCGGTTTAGGCGTACTTGGGGGCGTACTTCTCGTACACCTTGATGTAAGCCTCCTTGGCGGCCTCCTTAGACAGGCCCTTGTTGGAGTTCCAGGCCTCGAACTTGGCCTTACCCTTCAGATCCAGAGCCCCGGGCTTCTCGATGTTCACATCGCCAACGGTGGCCTGCTTGAAGAGACCGTAGAACTCCAGGAACTCGGCATCGGTGGGCTTCTTGGTGAACTTCTTGGCGAGTTCAGTAGCTTCTTCGAACTGTTGGGAGAAAAGGGAAATTAGAGATTATTAAATTTTATAAGAATTTTATATCGTTTATTAACAAAACCTAAGCCTCATTATTTTCTTGTTGAGGTTTGTTTAACTTTCAAGCAAACGTGATGTAACTATAGCCGCTATCCTGAAGGTTTAATACTTACGGACACCATGTTGTTTGATCTGGATTCTTGTTGGTAATGCTGCAGATAAGAAGGAAATTATTGACGATGGTAGCCCAATTTCAAGGACTCTGATTACGAGCTTACCACTGGAAAAGGCAAAGGCAATTGAATACTCCATCACCTTTCGACCGAGCTTATATAGCTTTGAGACCCTTGAATTTCTCTGCCGGTTTTATGGGCCTAGTGAAATATTCCCATTCTGCTGATTATTTGCAGATATCGATATCTTTATTTCGCTAATTTCGCTGCCCAACTACAAGCGAGCGACATTGTCAAAGGTAGCGATATTGGAGATAGCCCCGGATACACTTATCGTTTATAGCACCAACGAGCCCGCTGACCATGCTCTAGGCTCCAAGGGCGCACTGTAGATTGATTCACCTGCGAATTCGTCTCTGGACTTGAGAACTTTAACAACCCTAACGCCATAAATAATGACGAAGTGCTGGGCTCACAGTACGCCGATTCAGCTAATCTAATAGATTGTAAAATGCCATAAATCTATTAGCGAACTTTTATACGTGGCTTCTTGGTCAGCATCACCAGTTGATTGTTTAGTTAAGGGAAAATTAGATCATACGTAATCTGCATTGTCATTTTTGTTAATATTAGATTAGGACGGACACCTATTCATTATTCAATTTATTATACGAATCTTTATATAGACTTACATACTTTATACTTATAATTCCTTCCATTATATTAAAAATAATAATAGTTTGCCAAAAGTGTCACAATTATAATTATTGGAGCAATCACTTAAGGGCGCATAAAAAATTTTATAAATATAAAATAACTTTTATAACTTTAGTTTTTGAATATTAAATCAAATTTAAAAACTATATGTGATTTCAACGTAGGGCAGTAAAGGTATCACGAAAATAAAGATTTTAAAAATAATGTAGATCGTTTTAAAAAGAAATGAAAATATTAAAACAATGGACATATATGTACATATATAAGCAATTTTTTATATATTATACCACATTGAAAATTGTCTAGAAGTAGAACCTCACTGTATGTGGATCCTAAAATTATACCTCGCTTTATTGTGAAATAAATAAATGTATGTATAATAAGTAGAAAATCCGTGCATGTAAGTAGAGAATAAGAACACATATTTTGTATTTAAAAAACCCATTCTTAAGCATTATTAAATTATTATTATAGTGCTTAAGCATTATTAAATTATTACCAATTATTTAAATAAATAAAAAACATGAATAAGCTCAGCAAAAGTCAAAAAGATGTCCTATTATAAATTGTATAAAATAAACTTATAAGGACATTGACAATGTTTATTTCATACATTTTTATTTAATTTCTTTATATCCTTGATGGTGGATTTTTTGGCAACGGAAATTCTTATGCATATTTGTTGATTATATTTATTAAACTCGATGAATCAGAGCCAGGTGAACAAAGTCTTAGTAATTCGTCAAATATAGGTAAAAGATTATCAAGTGCTTATGAAATCCCTGATAATATAATTGCAATATATAGTTTATTATTTTTAAATACAAATATTTTCCAATTTTTTACATTTAAAAAAATGTCTTCTATATTTTATTTCAATGTTTACCCCAAATAAATTGAGATATTATTGCCGAAACGGAAAATATGTAGGCATCTACATAACTCGTTTGTTGGTCAACTGAAGCTCTTGTCAACCCTGCGGATAAGTGATTTCCTTTGAAATTTTAGACCTTTACGGATAAGGCACATAAATAGCGGTTTAGGGCCATAAGGAAAATTAATTAAACATGTTATTTTTATATTTTGTACTTCCCATTTTATAGAACATATCGGCGCAGGCACTCACAGCGGTCCGAGAGGGCCTAATCAGATTTAGATAGTATGGAGTGGGTCATATGATCGATCGCATTCGGCAACTGGAGCGGAAAGTTTGGTAGTGACAAATGCGTGTTCTTCACGTTAAATGCATAGGTGTTTGGTTTATTATAAAACTACAATAAATACATCGAGTGTCAACCACATTCCTTAAGGACAGTAAGCTTTAGGGGGGTCACAGGAAACGGTCTAGGGTTAAGGGTTCTATTCGTACTGGGGAGCGTACTTCTTGTAGACCTCGATGTAGTAGGCCTTGGCATCGTCGGCGGTAAGACCGGCCTTGCTCTTCCAGGCGTTGTAGCGGGCCTTCTTCTCCTCATCCTCGGGCTCCTCGATGTTGCAGTCACCAACGGTGGCCTGCTTGTAGTAGCCGTAGAACTCGAGGAACTCCTCCTTGCTGGGCAGGTTCTTGAAGTTCTTGGCCTTCTCGACGATCTCCTCAAACTGCAGTTGACAAACAAAAATTTTATAGAAATTTTACAAAGGCAAGGGATGTGTAAAACTCACGGTGGGCATGTTGGTAGCTTGTTAGTTGGTTTTGGCAAACAAAAACAATCTGTGCGGATCGCGCCACGGTCGCCGTTTATATATTGGCAAACATGGCTCACTCCCTTTGCTAATCTAATCAATGCTCGCTTTCCCCACTGCAATTGTAGTTCCTAGTCATGGGCTTATCGCCTGAGTATATAGCGGAGTAATCACTGAAAGTGAGAGTTGGTCTGGGGCCACTGAAGTGTATATAATTAGTCAGAAGCTTATCGGCGCTCTTGCACTTGCCAAAATATATGCACATGGCCCCATGTTGCCACTAACGGCCGGGCTGATAAGGTCGAGCCCCGAAACTGATGAGTTGGGGCAGCGTGGCCAAAAATCTGGATAGCCAACAGGCCAATAACTTAATTAATGGCCAGTCATCGACTCGGTTCTTACACATAATTCACGTGAGTCAGGGTCTATCTATCGGAGTCGTTATTATCATGGTGAAGTCGCCCGATCTGCTGCTAAGAATACTGCTGCGGCCAGATAGTAGTATCTGCCCTCCAAAAATATTAATTAAACTTTTTCAAAGGCATCCCCGTCTCCAAAATGTAGATATACTATTGGGCAATGCACCTGCCATTATTCAAATTAATTAAATTTCGTAACTCCTCAGAATGGGGGACTATAAAAGCAGCATGTTGCCGGGGAGATATCACTTAGTATCACTCGTATATCCAGCAAGATGGTCAGTTTTGAGGAAGCCGCCGAGCTCGCCAAGAACTTCTCCAAGAAGCCCAGCGACTCCGAGTTCCTGGAGTTCTACGGTCTCTTCAAGCAGGCCACCGTTGGCGATGTGAACATCGACAAGCCCGGCGTCCTGGATCTCAAGAAGAAGGCCATGTACGAGGCCTGGAACTCCAACAAGGGCCTGTCCAAGGAGGCCGCCAAGGAGGCCTACATCAAGGTGTACGAGAAGTACGCCCCCAAGTACGCCTAAAGCCTAGTCCCAGGATTAATCTCCTTCATCTGTCAAATAAACTCGAAATCTTACCCTGAGAAACCAGAGACTCCGCTTACTTAACCCGCTCTTAGAAGGCTGCCTCTGATTGGGGCATCGAAACGGCGGCTGCGATGAGCGGCTTGGCCTGGCCAGCCTTCATCAGCATCACCCGTATCTGGGAGTTGTCCGGGCTGAGGCTGGCCGGCGGCAGCTTATCCATTGGATCCAGCACCGCCACCACCTCAAAATCCACACGCAGGGGGACTCCTGGCAGGACACTGGGCAGCCGGGCCAGGGTCTGCGGCACAGTGTAGTGGCGTCTGTCGGCATGGAGCAGCACCACGAGATTCGAGGCCATCTTAAAGGTGGACAGGTTCTGGACAGTAAGGTATAGCCGAAAGGCGGGTCCGCTGCCGCAGACCTCGGCGGATAGCTTGACGGGGGCATGGGTCAGGTCGCCGGATATCGTGCTTTCCGAGGAGTTGATGGCATCGATGGTGGCCCGAGCTGCTGTGAGACGCAGGCGCCACAGTTCCACCTGAAAGCTGCCATAAGTGGCTAATAGATTGAGATACTGATTAAATTGTGTCATATTTTTTAGGTGGAAAACTAAGAACTAAGGGATTTTCAGGAAACTGAGTCACTTCATAATCTAAATTCTAAATTCATGGGTATGGCCACCGTTATCAATTCTATGTGTAATCTTTAAAATAATGGAAAAATACAGTGGCTATGAGTAAGGATCGATTTATAAAAGCAAGACAAAAAATATAATATTTTTAACAAGGTATTCCCTCTCACCTTTGGCCTGCTGCTTCTCCCGCGCCGCCTGCTCCACAAAAATAGAGCTCTTCTTAGGTTTGTCCAGAATGGAGGCATCCACGATCGAGCTGTGATCACTGCCTGATCGCTTATTGCCTAGATCTCCAGGTTTGGGATCAAACCGAGAGACCCGTCGCAGTATCTTAACCACAATGTCTCCTGATTGTGTAACAAGGGTAAGCACGTGATCCTCCATGCCCATCCGGCCGTACAACATGGCATCCACGGTCTCACTTAGAGCAAACTCATCAACCAGATAGCGCTGCAGATAAAATTTAACCACGCCTCCTTTCAGGGCAATGGCCACAAGGGTTAGTCCCAGATGGGTCATGGGCAGGGGCAGTATGCAGACGGGCAGTTCCTGCAGAGGCACCTGGTACAGCAGCTTGCCCCGCTTCGAGTAGCACAGATAGCGATTGTCCATCGTGGAGGCGATGATTGTCTGGTCAATGGGTAGGAGCAACAGCCCTGTTAGCGGCGTTCCCAGCTTGAAGATCTCCTGGCCCTCGGATTGGGTCTTCCGCAGCAGGTAGACACCACCATTCCGCGTGGCAACCACAATGCAGAAATCAGTTTCATAGGTTCCCTGAACGGAAATCAGGCTCGGCACAGCAGTTTCATCCGCACAGGTCTTGCCCTCGAACACCAAATTAAAGCCTTGCGGCTCTAGGATAAGGACACTGCCACTGTCGGTTGCCAAAACCAAATGAGATGGCGGATTAGCGTCGCTGGAGATGCGCTTCAGGCAACACATGGCCACAATGCTGCCACCGCGACCCACCGCTGAGTCTCTGTGCGTCGTAATGAAGGCCTCCCGCTCCTCCTCGCTCAGCTGGAGCAAGCGCTGCGACTTTCGCGAGAGCTTGGCGTGGTCAATGTTCTGGAGGGATTCAAGCAGAGCTGGGTGGGCGTCCTGCTTCATCACCGGCAGCTTGCGCCACACCTCGAGCTCAAGGTCCTCGGAGTCCTGGGCGGGAATCGTGTACTTGAAGTAGGGTTTCAGGTGGCGGTAAAAGAGCACGGACTCGGCAATGGCGACGGCAATTACTAGACGTGAATAAGGGTTACAAAAAGGGGTTCGTTTTGAATAATTTAAGGGAGGGAGACATTTTACCCGGCGTCTTTGGCTCCGACTCGTCGATGTAAAGGCTCTCAATGGCCGTGGGAATCCCCGGCAGAGGCTGCTCCTGCTTGAGCTTTAGACCTCGGAACACCTTCAGCGTGGCACTGGGCTCCTCGGCGGCGTCATCCAGTGAAATGTCCGCGGCCAGAAGCCGGACATAGCCATCGCACTGCACGTCGCTCAAGGTCATGCAGCTGGAGAGCGTTGTGAGCTGCGGGCGAACCTCGTCCTCGGTGTCCACGTGGAGCCAGTTGGGAGCACTGGCGGCCATGGCTGGATCTCAATCTTACGGAATACTTTGCAATGGCAGTGTGAAAACGAACAGATGATTCAGTTCAGGCCTTTGTTTTGGTTTTCATTTTCCCTAGCAACGGCGCCGCATAGTTTGAAAATGCAATCGATACAATTTTCTTAATATCTTTACCCGAAGTGATTACTTTTTGGTATGTTGTAGGTCACAGTTTTACAATACATCAAGAAATATTTATTTTTCCCTCTATCGATCATATTACCGCTATATAATCTAGTCGCCCGATTTTCATAAAATCATAAAATTGCAGGGTATTATAATTTTAGTCAGAAGTTTGCAACGCAGTGATAAAGACCTTTCCCACCCTATAAAGTAATTTTATATAATTTTAGGATTGTCAGAGATGAAGCTGGAGGAGCGAGCAGATGGCTGGACAGATCTCAACCGGATGGCAGTAGAGGACGGTGATCGGATCTTGGCTCCGGGCTATATGAAAGCCTGCGGAAGGCGTAAATAATTAAAATATTTATAAATACAATTTAAATATGTAAATGTAATTGATGGAACACACAAATATTTATCAATAAAAGATGGTGAATTCAATGTGCAATGTGTTTGGTGAAGGCGGCATTTATTTGGGATCGTTTGGGGAAAAATCTAATTATTTTGAAAGCCAAATCAAAATTTTTAATTTTTTTTTCTGAATTTTAAACATTTTTTTCGGATGTTTTACAATTTTTCTAAATTAAACATTTTTTTTCTAAATATTTAAAACTTTTCTGAATTCTTAAAATTTTGTCTGAATTTTTAAATTTTTTTTTCAGATTTTTTATATTTTTTAGAATTTTTTTTTAGAATTTGTTAAATTTTTTTAAATGTTGTAACTGCCAAATTTGAATTTGAATTTAACTGCCAAATTTGAATTTGAATTTAACGACGATCAGTTTCAGTGTGCCCAGATGCAGTTGTAAAATAACACCTAAATTTGGATTCAAAAAGGTTTGAGTCCCCGCTAACTTGCGCCGGCTCCTAAATGGTTTGAAACTTGGACAAAATTTACAATATGGTCACACTGGCACGTTTTTCGTGGCCCAAAGTTTTTATAACAGTTTATACCAGTTTTCAGTTGCTTGCTGCTGATTTCTGTTCGCCTGTTACCCCAATTTGGGAAACGGGCAATTTGCATGGAAATGTTCGGAAATTTGGATGGGCTGCTGTAGGGATGTTGTTGTAAAAAGGTTGTTGTTGCCATAAGCTGTTGTTGTCGGCAACAAATAGGTATAAATGCATAAAATGGAATATAACAGTTTATACCAATTATTATTTTTGCCCAAAAATTTTTATAACAGTTTATACCAGTTTTCAGTTGCTTGCTGCTGGTTTCTGTTCGCCTGTTACCCCAGTTTGGGAAACGGCCAAATTTAATGGAAATTTTTGCTCACTTCCATCAGTGATGCTCACTTTCATCAGTGATGCTCACTTCCATCAGTGATGCTCACTTCCATCAGTGATGCTCACTTCCATCAGTGATGCTCACTTCCATCAGTGATGCTCACTTCCATCAGTGATGCTCGCTTCCATCAGTGATGCTCACTTCCATCAGTGATGCTCGCTTCCATCAGTGATGCTCACTTCCATCAGTGATGCTCACTTCCATCAGTGATGCTCATCTAGCTATTTTTTGCATTATTGGTAGAAAATTGCATCTCACTAGCTGCCAGTGATGCTCATCTAGCTATTTTGCATTATTTGAATTTATTTCTCATTAACTGTCAGTGATGCTCATCTAGCTATTTTCCACCGCAAGAAAGCCCTTATATTGAGCCTGTTTAAATTATCCCACCCAAAAAAAAACCGCATCCTCCTCATAACTCAAAAATAACACATTTTTTAAGGTTTATTATTTATTTCAGCTTTAAATAAAAACAAGAAAGGAAGCTAACTTCGGCACGCCGAAGTTTGTATACCCTTGCAGAAATAATTTCATTACATTTTACCTATACCTATTATGTTTACAGTTTGATAGTTACAGTTTTGCATTCCCAGCTTTACATTTTCTCTACATAAACCGATCGTTTATATGGCACCTTTATGATATAGTTGTCCGATTTTCATGAACATAATAAGTATAGTTAAAATGTAATAAAATAATATATGCAATGGTATACAAACTTCGGCGTGCCGAAGTTAGCTTCCTTTCTTGATATATGATAATTTTGTTGACTAATTAAAGCTTAAACATATATAATTAAGTCCTAAAACCCGCAAATTCAATTTGGAAAGCTTTTCTATGCTAGTTATTGCTAGGTTTACAAATCTGCATACTAAATTTTATTTTTTAGGAAATCAAAATTTTTGCCAATTTTTGAAAAATTTAACGATGTAACCCCTTATTAAATTTTGGAAAAATGGCTAAAAAAATTTTTTCCTTCGGACATGGCTAGAAAGGCTCGCCTGTTGATGCTGATCAAGAATATATAGGATTTATAGGGTCGGAAATGACTACTTCAATGCCTTTCCAAGCTTCTGACACGATTTTAATAAAAAAAAAATCATGGAAAAAATAAAAATAAAACGAAAAATAAACTTAACCTTTGACTAATGCATTCTAGTTTTTTGAAAGTTAGGAAACCGGAAACCAACTTTTTTGGGGGACACTCGGGAGATTCCCTATAAATTCTATACCTTTAACTATTTATCTCTACAATATAATTAGCACAAAATAGTTTAAGTGTTGTGTTATTATATGGTATTTAATTTAATCAGCTAACTTAAGCCGTTTCCCCACAAAATGTTTTTGAAAAATTACCCGTTTTGCCGCGAATTAACCCTACTTCCTTAGCGAAGTTTCATACCTTTCCTCAACCAAGTTGTGCACCACTTTCAATGCAGTTTGTACCTAATTTTGACCAGCATTTATTTATTTACATCTTCTGCTTGATCTTATGGTCACACTAAAAGTACACACATACAAGCAGCTGCACGATTTTGTTTTTAATAGTTTTTTAGCGTTAGGTGAATTATTAACCCTTTGTTTGGCCCAAGTAATGACGGAGCTCAAGGACGAGGTGCAGGTTTTCAACAAGGGCGAGATAGTCCTCTGCTACGAGCCGGATAAATCGAAGGCCCGAGTGCTCTACCCGAGCAAGGTACGCGTCCACGCACACACGCACCCGACACCCACACTCGCGCAGAAACTGGAAGGGTTTTCACGCAGTTTTCATAAATTTCCCACAGGTTCTGAACGTCTTCGAGCGCCGCGACGAACATGGTCTAAGGTACTACGACTACAAGATCCATTTCCAGGGCTGGCGGCCTTCATACGACCGCTCGGTACGTGCTGGGGTCCTGCTTAAAGACACGGAAGAGAATCGCCAGCTGCAGCTCGAACTGGCGGAGGCGGCGCAGCTGCAAAGGTAAGTATCCACACACACAGCATGTGTTCGTATATGTGTGTGTGTTTGTGAAAATGCCGGTTCCAGTATTTTCTTACTTTCCGTTCTCACTTGCAGAAGAGGCGACAACTCGTACAAGGGCACGCCCGACAAACCGGCGCCGAAGAAGAAGCGTACCGGCCGGGCCGCCTACATCGAGGATCCTGCCGTGGACCCCCTGGACACGGCGTCCTTTGCAGCAACAGCGGATCAGGAAATGCCGCCGACACACCGAGCTCCAGCCGTTGGCAACCGGGCTCGCGACAACAGCGGCGGCAGAAAGGAGAAGGCCGCACATGGAGATGGCAGGCCAAAGGCGTCTCGGGGACGGCAGGTGAACAACGCCGAGGATGTGCATATCCTAGAGCCCGAACTGGAGCGGTTCGTGTGCCAGGAGGATCGGGTGATGTTGCGCATCAGCGAGCGGCTGCGCGAGTACATGGAGTACGACTACAACATGGTGGTGAAGCTGGGCAAGCAGCACATCATGCCCGCCCGCATGCCCATAGTGTCCATACTGGAGAGTTTCGTGAAGCAGAGAGCCGTAGAGCTGGCCATTGGCATTAAGCAGGACAGCTCCAGGGCCAGGAACACGAAGAGCGGCAATGCCCGCATGTACCGGGAATACGATCGCGTCATGTCCATGTATGTATTAACCTAATTCTTGGCTGCAACCAAAAATTATTGCCTCTCCTTGCAGCGTTTGCATGCTGAAGGAAGTGGTGGACGGCATTCGCATCTACTTTGAGTTCCACGTGGACGATCACCTGCTGTACAAGGAGGAGAAGGAGTACACCCACAACTACCTCACCGACGACAACATGCGGAACTGCAGCGTCCTGCTTAACAAGTCCTACGACTACATCAATCCCAGCTGCGACACCGAACTGATCTCCATGGACGGTACGCCTGTGATCTCGAGCAACGGCCAGGAGGAAGGCGGCATCCTTGGCGGGAAGGAGTACGAGGACCAGCTGCAAAAGTGCCTGCTGTACATTGTGAAGAGCAGCGGCAAGAATACGGCTCAGGCCTACGACCGAACGTCGCCTTTTACGGCCGCCTATAAGCTGCCGCGTGAGATGAGAGGCTTCCTCTGCGAAACTTTCAACTGGCGGCTGCTGTCGGCGGAGTCGCCGCCGGAGAAGTCCATGGTCTTTGGCGCCCCCCATCTGGCCAGGATGATGAGTGAGTTGAAGCTAAAGCAGAGCTAAGAAATGTATAAAAGCCAAATTTACTTTTAAAGTCAAGCTGCCCGAGTTCCTGAATGCCTCGCCCATGTCCAACAAGAAGCTGGAGGTTCTGCTGCCGCACCTGGACTCGTTCATCAAGTGGGTTCCATTTCTTAATACCTTGAGCCATATACCAAGTAATTTATTTATTTTCAGCTACCTAGAGAACCACAAAGAGTGGTTCGACAAGGAGAACTACATGCATCCCACCGTTCACCAGGAGCAGCTGCAGCGGGAGCTGCTCGAGTCCCTGGAACGACCCATACAGATGTCTGCCGCTTAGCTTTAGTTGATCGTACGCTAGTTTATTTATTATTATGCAGTTTAAAGCTTATGTTTGTTTATTTTAAAGATTTGTAATTGTCGCTTCATGATTCCATGATTTTGGTTTCTCCAACTACGCGCTTTGTAAATAATTCGCTTCTATAAAAAACGTTTCCTACACATGTATAATCGAATAATGTCTACAACTATATGTTAAATATGTGGAAAATACGATTTTAACATTTTTTTAAACATTTTTTTTCTTTTTTTTTTTTGCTTAGCCTAGGTTTTAGTTGA